TCTGGTATTTTAGGCTGGACCTGTGAGTCCAGATCTACTTATGCTTTAAGCATAAGGAGAAATGTTACATTTCTCAAGGAGTCATTGAATAGTGTTATCTGGCTCCTCACCATACAGTGACCCATTACAAGATCTAGTCTAAAAGGGGCAGTTTAACCTGGCAGTAAGGGAGAAAGATGTACCTGTCATCTGTGTAAGGCTGTAGTTACAGCCCTTATCCTGGATAGCAGCACAACGCATGTGATAGCAATCATTGCATCTCATGATTGGATAGACAGGGCTGGCCTTGGGACTGAACCTGAGGAATAGACACATTTTTCTAGGAGGATTTCTCTGCTCACTAATTCAGGATTCAGCCTGGTTTTAAATGAGCACTGGTTCTTGAGAATAAACCTCTACTTCCTAAGTTGAGGCTGATTTAGTTACCACCAGAATTGCCACAGACAAGTCAGAGGATTTGTGCAGCAAATGATAAAATAATTGAAAAGCAGTGCTCTAGAAAAAGCAGTTCAGAAGGAAACAGATTTGGAAAAAACTTCAGAGCTTTTGATATTCAGTCAAGAATACCGAATAGCAATAGGTACTGATAGTCCTGTCTATTTTGTATAAATTCAGTTAATGAATTTATACAAAATTCATGATCAGCATATACAAAGTTCTGATCAGCCATTAGTGACAGCCATTTGGGAGAGCAATGTGCAAAAAAATGTGGAAAGAGTAAACAAGAAGAACAAGACCTGAATGTATGGTTGAATACGTTTTTTTATTTTCTTCATTGCAGGGTAATCTGGTAAAATTACTAGGGAGTTGAGGGCAAAACTTCTATTAAACATTGCAAGTCTTTTATGGTTGCCCTCGCTATCTTCTTTTAGGTTGCAGAGATATTATACCTCTTATGAAATGCCAGCCTGGTAGGGTTTTCTTTTAAAGCTTCTTTTTAATTTACAGCAAGGGTCTTTAAAAGTTACCAGTAGTTTATTCTTAGTTTTGTTTTCCTAATTTATGACTACTATATATTTAATTTAATTTAATCTATGACATTCTACCCAAAATACAATTGGAAATGCTTTTTGGATAGCTGAGCAGCAGGAAGACTCCCTGCTGAAAGACTTGATTTTGCAGCTATTTGTACCTCTTGGTGGCTTGTCCGCTATAGAAGGAGCTGTGAGAAGGGAAAGGAATATGAAATGGCATTTAAAACATCACTTGTCACCTGTTTCCTCTTTTCATTTTTATTATCCTGTTGGATTATAGTATCTTTGCTGTAGTCTATAGTCAATTTGTCTTGTACCATAGTAGGTGTCTGGCCCAGGGAAGAATTCCTAGGTGCTGCTATAATACACACCCTGGAAGAAAGATCCAGAAAGAAACAGTAACTTGGGTTTTCTATAGCCTTCATTTAAGTACTGCGGCTGTTATAGGCTTCTAATGTCTTTTTGCAGTTGGAAGTGTGGCAATCTGTTAATTTATTTAATGTAAGATAGTCATCAGAATAAAACATGATTAGCCTCCATTAATTCTGACTCTGGCATTTTTCTCTGGAGCACTTGCTTGAGCATCTCCTGGAGTGGTCAGAGTCACAATGGTGACCTGGAGGTGAGAAACTCCTTAATGCCTCCTGCTTGTTCCTTAGTTCCCTAGCAACCATGTCTGCTTTTTTTTTCCCCTAATATAAATTCCTCATGATTATTCACACTCCTTGTTAATTAATATTATTATTAAAGCCAGGGATAGGATCACATTTATTAGGAAGATTTAGGAAGACTGTTGATTTTTTTTTTCCTGTAGCAAAACCATCTCTATTTTATCTAGAATTTGCTAGAATGTAGCTATTTGGATTGATTAGCTCTTTGTTGGATGTCCAGTTTGGGCTATGGATTCCAAAAAGCCCCCACCACTCTTGATGATGAACAATATAAACGAGTAATCTACAGCAACATAATCTGGGAGGACTGAAGTGAGGCAGGAAACCTACAAAAAACAAAGTGTGTGACTGTGGAATTAGGCTGTGTATCATAATGCCTGTGCACGATGGAATGAAATGAATGTTTCCCTGGCAACCTTAATTCTCACATTTTCTAAGTTCTGAATGCTTCTCCCTGAGATGTTAATAATAGTCAGTTAACTTTTTTCCTCCTATAGCTAATGTGATACACAAAAATGTGCTTGAATTTTAAACATGCATATGAAGGCAAGTTATTGTAAATGTCTTACTGGTGAATATACAGTCATTATGTTGATTCACAGTTATAATTATTTTTATTTGTATTGCAGATGTGGTAGTGAATTCTTACCTGTTGTATGAGCACTGTGTGATATGTTTAGGTAGCTGTCAGAGCAAAAGGATTACATTTTTAATCATGGTTTACAGATAATACATTGTTACAGTAAAAAGAATGAGGAAGCCATGGTGGGAGTACACAATCTACCTACGTGATCTTGAGGACTCTTTACACCTAATGTGGCAGAGAGAACTTTTAAGAAAAGGTATGACAAAGGAAAGTGTTCTGGCTTTGGAAAGATTTACAGAGAGTGGGAGCTTGCAAAAAAAAAAGCAGCAAAAGAACAAAGCACAGCTTCAGCAATAAATAAGGACTGCCCTTTTCATCAAGCAGCACAGCAGTATTGTCTGTGCTATTATCTGAATTAGGACACAGAGTAAAAGATTTTGTATTCTTGGCTGACTTAGTTTTGCTCCCCAACCTCCTTCTTGTAATAGTTTTAAACAGATCTACTAGTTTTGATGACCTTCACCTACTGCTAATATTGCCAAAATACTAGGATCTCATCTTTCCTCATCTTTGTGCCACCTTCCAGCCAGGTTCCAAAAGTTTGAGATACTTTGGGATGAACCTTCTGCAGCATAAGTGGCAATAGCAGGAATAATGCTTGCAGAGTAAAGTATGTCTTTTCTTTTTATACTGACTTCAATAGAGTACTGAGTTAAGTGGAGCTAGAGTCTCTACCTTCATTTGCAAGAGTCCAGAATATCCAGCAAAAAAGTAATTCAGCTTTCGTTGTTGAAGTAAGCTTCTGCATTGTAAGGGATGTTTTATCTGGGCAGGAGACAAGAGTTTTGCTGAACAATCCCAGAATAAGCTAGGGACTAACTCCTTCTTAGACTGCTTCAGGTATGATTGTCCTACCTTTGTAGACCACACATGGAAGAAAGCCCCAGACCCACACTGATCTCTGTCTGCTGGCTCCCATCCTCCCACTTCAGGTTTATCATGTTTTTGGCATGGGCTGGGTCCATACAGTGCAGCATTTGACCAAGAATCTGTGTCATAACAAAGTAGTTCTAAAGCATAACTGTTTCAGTTGGATGGAGCTTCTTCAGTTCAAAATACCAGACATAATAATTTTGTGTCATGTCAGTCATGTGCTTGCTCCCTGCTGTAGAGAACTACTTGGCTTAGTTCCAGGGAGCCCCAAAGCAAGCTGTCACAGACAGCAGGTAGAGGCTGGTAGGAAAGCAGGCATGAGGCATAGAGAAGGCTGGTACATCTCACTGACAGATGCAATGAAACCTCTTCCTTGAACAACCTCTCCCAGTCATACACAACAGCCATCCTTTGATAAAGTTAAAAACATGCATAGTGTCAAAGCTAAGACTTTCAGAGCCTGATTCTGTATTTTGCAATAGTCTGTGAACTTCGTTGCACTCAAAATCATGTTTGTGATCAAAGAGAAGGCACAACTTATAAAACTAAAAATTTTGCATCAGTGTGACTGAAATTTTATTCTAAATATTATCATCTGTCCATCTTTAATGTATTCATTAAAGAAAATAAAAGATACTTCTGTGCAAAAAAAAAAAAAAAATCATTAATTGTGGTACTGCAATTAATGTTGCATGAAAGCTTCCCAGTTTCTACCTCTTTTGTGTTATTGTGTTCACCCTTCTTCCAGTGCTCTGATTTCTAAAGTTTGATGGCTTGATTTTGCTGTTGGTGGTGGTGTTGGTGGGGATGTTTTGATAAGTTATCAGCAACCAGAGACGTTCACTGGGGAGGATTAAGATGTCCATTTTGATGATTTCTTCTTCACCTGGAGTTTCTTATATATGCTAGCTAATATATTTTCATGTTTCCCTTTTTCTGTTGGTCTGGTGCTCCACAATACACCTGATATTACTCTATACGGTGTTTTTTCAGTGTGCTAGATGCTATTTTTTTTTCTTCTTTGCTACCCCTAAACCAGATTTTCTTCAGTTCCCCTGACTGCAGATCTGCAATTCTCTTAACTGGCCAGTGGTTAGATGCTTACAGCTGTGGGGTCTGTGATGCCAAGTATGTGCTCCATGTCTTATCATTCCCACCTGTACTCTTATATGCCACATCCTAAGTCTCCTCAGGTTCTCTCTATCATTCCAGGCCTGTACCACATCATTAAATTCCAGTCATAAACCCATAATAGTAGTGTACAAAGACAAGGGAAGTAAAGCCAACTAGCCACAGATCCCAGGTTGGTTAGAAAAATTGTTCATGTCCTACTCTACAAACTATTTATGGTAGGGGAAGCAGGTCAGGGTTTGTGTTGCACTCATAGCATCTTTTCTTTAGTCTCACTTTTAGATTTTAATACTGTTGCAGATATTTATTCACAGGTGGCTCTTTGGATTGTGTTAATTGAAATCTGTGCAACTGCTAAAACCAATTATCTCAGATCACCTTGGCAATGCCTTTGCTAATGGATAAATGCTTCTGTAGACCCATTTACAAAGGATAATAGTAAGTAGACTTTGTTTCATGTTTAAAATTAAGATCTGATTTTGATTTGGATCTGAATAAAATTCTGCTCTGAAAACGTGTTTAAGTCACATCAATTCACACATAACAAGATCCTTGTCAGAGAGAATCCTTTGTTGCCCATTACCAGGCAATCACACAGGGGAGACAGGCCAGCTGTATCATCCAGTCATCTCAGTAGTGGTTGTGACACGGGACCTCTTAGCCTATCTGCTCTGCAATCATGCCATGGTGGGACTATAAAGGAAATGTTATGACTTTATTTTCTCCACCTGCATCACAAAAATTTGTATTTCGAAGTGAAGCATATTTTCTAAGCATAGAAATGTGTTGTTCTGTTCATTTTTCACGGCTTTTAATATGTATCTTCTGGAATAAAGAAAATCCCTAATACCTTGTTCGTGGTAGGGGGTGTGGTTGGTGACCTCCCTGCTTTGCCATGGGAGGCCACAGATGTGTAGTTTCCCGCCTCCCAAGTTGTCCGTTATCTGTTCTCCCTTCCCCCAGTTTATGTCAATCACTTTGTACCCCTTCCCTTTGTTCTAGAAAGTTCTCGGTTCTTTGTACTCCCATTGGTTCCTCCCCCGAAACCACTTCTTCCCTCTATCCCAGTTGGCCGTTGCCGTGTCACTCCTGCTTGACTCCACCCTCATACCCTCACCCGGTTGGATGCTCTGTACCCTGACCCGCCTTCCCTGTAACTGTTATAAACCCTGCCCCGCCCCTGGTTTGGGGCTCTCAGAGCTGGCTCGCCCTCTGAGTGGCTGTGTCCCTTCACTACCCTCGCCTTCCCTCACCGAAGCCCTCAGAATAAAGCCGCTTGAGAGACTCTCGCCCGGTGGAAGACTCTTCTCTTTACTACCATCGACGCGTTCCCGAAGTCCCCGACCCTGTCGGAGAGACAGAGGAGACGCGTCACTTGTTAGTAACAGCAGTTTTATGTCTTAGCTTGTACAAAGAGAAATAACACAGAGACACTGTCTCACATTTTTGCTGAACTTTGTTCTCCTCTGAAAATACTTATTTTCTGAGTTCTTATTGTCTAGACTTAACAAGTAATGGGGCTTGATGAACAATGCTTTGGGATTCTGCGTCAAAGTCTTTCTGGCTGCTTGATTGTTTAATACCTAGAAAGTAGGTGGTGGAAGTGAATATTTAATTTTCATAATGAGGAGGAGTGTATGAATCTCTGTGGAGGCTTGTGTTCCTGAAAGTGTTCTTAAGACATATAGAAGACAAGAAGAATAGATGTGATAAAGTGGGGCTTTCCAGAAGAAGAAGGAGGAAAACCAGGGGAGAGAAACAAATGGCAGACTTAAAAATAAGCAAGCAGTTGTTCTTTTCATTACTGTGTAGTTGTACTGTGGGAGTCCTTGCTGTGGAAGTTTTGCATGCTAAAAATGTGCATGGATTCCAAAATCACAGAATAAATTTGTGGAGAAAAAGATTCACTGATATGGAATAGAAAGGATAGCATTTCTGGTTCAAGTTCCTGTGGCAAGCTAAGAGGTCATCCTGGAGAGAGTAGAATAGATACTTTCTTTTGAGCAGTGTTGGTGAGAGATACTTGGCTACGTAGACCTTTGATCTGAGCTGAAAGGCATACTCTTAATGTTCTTCTGAAGATGATCAATCAGCCCTTGGGAGCTTGCTCTCCCACCCCTTAGCTTTTCTTCCCTCTTGTCTAGTATCCCCTTCTTTTCTGTCACAAAGTCAAACACTTTTTTCCAAGTAACTCCTCTATATTTTTCATCCATACCATCAAATGTTATTTGTGATTCATCCTGAAACTGTTCTTGCCAAGGTTTCTAGTGTTCTTTCCTTTGCTCGATTTACCAGCTCTCTCTCTTCCTTCAAGGTTCATGGTCCTGTCTGTCCCTCAGCATCCCCTCAAAAGGATCCTCTTCATTTCCTCTCCCACTTTCTGTTAAATTTTCACAAATCTTGGTCAGTGATGCCCTTCTGTTATTCCTTGACTCTGGGTAGGGTAGTCTCCCTCTGTAAGGCACCCTATAAACAACTATTTAATTGTTTTCCTTAAAGCCTGTCATAATGATTTTTCTGTGCTTTTGTGTGTGCAGGGGGGTTGACAGTGGTTTATTTACCAGCTATTCACTAGTGTTTCTTGTGTTTTCTCAGTGCTCATAACTTTGTGGGTGTGGATCTACTGTCTTTGGGCTCCCTGTGCCATGCAAGCACTTTAAAACAGGGACAGCCTTTTAGTGTGTTTGACCAAGGCACTAAAATGTGTGTATGACATTTGGGTTTATCACAGACTACGACAGACAGGTAGTGTTGTACTAGGACAGAGCCCAGCATTTTTGTGTGCTGAAAAATCACTGTCTTATGTTGTAAAAGTGACTGATTTCCTTCAATATTTTATAGACAGAATGCTGGCGTACTCAGCTCTTAAAACACAGCATTGGAGCAAGCATCAAACTTTTATTCTAATTTGGTTAAATTCAGAAATAAAGTGCTTTGAAAGTTTATATTGGATGTGTTCTCACTTTAGGGCCAAGGTGGACCTTCAGGAGGAAAGGCAGGAAAAGCTGGTAAAGCTGGACATAAAAAAAAGGTAAGATTCTGAAGTCTTAAAAGTTTTTTTTCCTTTTTTCAGCTATGAGATGCAAAAAAGAATTAGTCCGAACAATGAGAATTTTTAAAATAAAGTTGGTAAAATATCAATTGATTTAGCAGTAAGAGGTTGCTGTAGTTTCCACTGAGAGGGGAAACACCAGCAAGTTAGGACAAAAAGTATCACCTGGAACAAAAGCACAATTTGGGTAAAATGCAATGTGAAAAAATTAAATTAAGATGTTTGTGATGTGAATTCCAAAATACTAGCTGACTCAGACTGTGAGAAATCTGCCTGCTCAGTTTAGAAAATTTAAAGTATAGCCCATATTCACTTAACAAATAAGTACAAGCTGATAATAACGCATGATAATGTTTTTACTATTGGGCAAATAAATTATTTTAATATCTTGATTTAATCTACCTTCCTCTTATTTAGCTCCATTGGGAAAGATGGAGGATCCATGACAGGAATGGAAGAACAGTCTACATGCCTTTAAACAGGCATATTGATAAACAGCTTTTCACTTTCTTGGGACAAATCACAGTCTCATTAAATGTTCCTCTTTTCACTATTTAAAAATGGAAAGTTATTTACTTTTAAATTAAAATCATATAATAAAAATGTTAAAACCATAATACTTCTTATCTGATTCACTTGGGAAAACAGCTACTGAACTAACTGGCGTCAAATTGTGTATGATAAATGTCCTACAAGCAAGTATTCATGTGGGGAGCATTAAATCACAAACAACTGTTCTGCAGTCATCATCTCTTGTGCATCAGAGTGCCTGACCTTCCTTACAGCTTGCCTCATTTCAGCTCCCTTGGGGAAAGAAAAAAGGCTGCAGCCTGTGACTTTCCCTGAGCTCTTGGAATATGCAAAATTCTCTGTTACTTTTAGCCACTGCACATTTTGACACAGTGTTGTGCTTTTTACCTTTGTGGTACTCTGCACGTAGCAAAGCACTGCTGCGTCCAGCCTCTATGGCTTCAGCTGTAAGCTGTACTTACCCCTTGGACTCATCCTCAGCTTTGTGTGGCTGTGAAGTTAGCAGGCCTGAGAGAACTGTATTTACAGAAATGATTGATTTATTTTAAATCAACTCATTACACATTTTGAACTGAGGGAGAAATTTTGCCTGGAGCAGTTAAGCACTTTAATCAGCAGTTTTGTGTTCTGACAGTTTTTTCTGTAAGGACAATTAATTGAAATTCATTCCTGCAGTGATTAATTTTGTTTTAATGACCTTATATCATGACATGAACCCAGTGCTAGCCCAGGGAAAGCCGCAGTCTGTTGCTCGGAGAATGAAGATATGCTGGCCTTTGCAAGAAATTGGTTAACATTCCTCCAGGAGCCATATCCCTGCAGCTTTGTATTTCAAACTAAATTCTAAGAGTAGCTTATAAAATAACATGTCAGGAGTAATTGCAGGTTCTTGGCTTGTGCCCTTGAGTAGTCCTTAAGTCTTATAATACCCTTGGGTATTATGTGGCAAGGGAAACAGAATTGCCAACTTTTAAACTGAGATTGAAGTGGAATCACTTGAATTTTGTTATTTGAGTTAATCCAGTTTTGTGCCAGGGCAGGAATTTTCTTCAGACTGCAGCTCCTCCAATCCACTGAACTCCTGCTGGCAAGCGTAGCCATATGAAAATCCTCAGATTTTGGCCTGCCATTTGTGTTCTGCTGTGCTCAAAGCAAAGATGGGTGGGGGAATGTTGTTTTTATCTCTGTGTTTTGTGATTCAAGAAGTGCTGCTTTGGCAGGGAGCAAAACTGTCAGTCTGGTTGCATTTCTGAGCTTGTCATTAATGTTCTAGGCTGAGAATGACTTTCCTGAAACAGGAGAGGACTGGTCAACAGGAAGGGCTGCAATCAAGTCCCCAGATCAGCTGGATCTGACTGAAAATGTGAGTAAACCAATGCCTGTCTTGTCATGATGTGTGTATGAAACTCCATAAGCAGAACCAAACCCATTGGTTTTGGAGGAAATTCTGCAAGAGTGAAACTCCAGTACTTGCTGAAGTATAGTGTCTGCAGTACCATATGAAATAGCTTGAACAAGAAAACAGGGAGAATGTGCTATGAAACCCAGTTCTGGGCTTAAAACACTGTAACTGCCTGGAGCTAATCCCAAAGAGAAAATGCGGCTGAGGCTTCACTCAATTAAGGAAAACCCAGAGCCAGCCCTGAGCTTTTCAGGTGGCTGTGTGCAATACAGAGGACAGGAAAGTGTCATACAATTTTATTGCTATTTCTTCTATTGGTTCAGTAGCATTGCAATTGGTCACCCTTCCAACTGCAATTGTTTCTGTCTTCTCACTGTCTTAGAAAGCATTGTTCTCTGTCCTTAAACTAGCACTGTGAGAGGGAACGCTTTATGTATGTCCCCCAACTCAGGCACTAAAAATAGTTAGCAGTATTTTTTTTTTGTTCACAGTGGTCAATCCTGCCACTAAGCTTATTGTTTATTTTTGACAGTGAAAATTTTAAAGACACAAGTTGTCTGTATCATCCTATATAATGCAGTTAGCATTTCTCAAGTGCTACCATATCTTAGATAAGAATTAAAATAAAAAAAGCCCATTGAAATACTGTAGTAGGAAGCAGGATGACTGTTATGGATTTCACTCTGAGCAAGGTTGGCCCTAAGCACTGTTCTTGTGGTGGCATCAGCTTTATATGAGGTATCTGCAGTGAACTGAGCATAAACATGATGATTTTATTGCTGTACATTGTATTAGTAGTGAAATTTTATTTACAATACTTTTGTTTCCATGCCAAAGGAATTAGAAAAGGAAGTTATACGTACCTTGACAGCTAATAATCCCCATATTCCCCAGAATATCGTCAGATTCAGCTTTAAAGTAAGTATGACATGACCCATAAAACTGGAATTTTTTGCAATTAATTTGTTTTGTGTTTTCTTTTGGTTTATAACCAGGTAAATTTTCTTTTAATGTGGCTACATTTTATTACATATTTACTGCCAATGGCTCTTAAAGGGCTTGTGTAGAGGGTGAAAGTCTAAAAGCATTGATGCATTTATGTAGGAGTAGGATATCACAATTACAGAACAAGATCTGTTGTGAAGGTGGTTAATGCTGCTAATCTCAGGTAGTTACTTTTCCCATTCTGTGGTGGTTAAAGGACAAAAGGCAAGGCTTTTCTCAGTTTGTAAGAATTATGCCTTGATATCCACACTTGAAGATTGAATTATCGGAGAGCTCAGAAATTTGTTTTATGAAATCACTGACAACCTTTATTCATGATGAGTAGGAGTCAGCAACCGACAGGCAGAAAACATCCA